GGTTCCAGAAAATCAAGCAGACTGCTGCCGCTCAATTTTTTTTTTTTTGTCCCCCCTCATTTTTCCAGCTTGCCTCCCAGACTCCCCTAGCTTACTGAAAAGCTGGGAACAACAGAAATACAGCAAGTGGGTATTTTATTTTTGTATATCTCTGCCAAAATACAGCATTCCCTCTGATTCACATTCCCTCTCACTGCCAGCTCTCTGAAGAGGGAAGTTGGCTTCTTCTCGTAAGAGGGATCTGGTTGCAGTAACCAGACAGGGTATGTGCATTTTATCACGGGGGTCTGTGACTGCTGGATTTTGGTGGTCAGCGTTGTTAACTTAAGAGTGCTGCTTTTACTTACCAGAGATGAATGCAAGTCATGCTGGTCTTTTTAAGAGTATTTCTACATCTCCCTGAAAGGCATTGTGGGTATTTTCTAAAGACTCTTGTTGGGTTCTGGTTTGGTTTTGCCTTCTCCTTTTAGAAAGAATGATTTCTTGCTCTGTATGTGCAGTCTTGTAGTGAAGTTACTAGGTAGACCCTACAGCCTGTAGAGCTTGGGAGTGCAATTACGGCTACTCAGCTAAATATATACATGCATTAACCCCATTGTTTATGCATGTTGGATTGTTTGAGTATTTGTTCACTAATAGAAGCAGAATCATGCCCGTCCTCTGTTATCTATGGTGAAATACACCTGAAAAGAGTTGGAGAGCAAGTGAGCAGCTTGCTTCATTTCTTTTCTTTTTTCAAGGAAAGTGCTCAAAAATCTTCAGTGTTTCTATCCCTTGGTGAGTTGGGAGTAAGCTTTGCTTTCTGTTACACATGCCTGCTTAATGGCAGATTTATTTATTTTTAAATGGAGACTGCAGCCTGAAAAACTGCAACCTTAGAAAAACTGATACGTATTAAAGAAAGTTATGAAACCAACTCAAAATGGAGTTCCTGCAAGAGCTCTCCAAATACTGTGGTCATTCAGCCTATGCAGCAGCTTTCACTTGCGTCTGATCATCTCGCCTAAGACGAACAAGGAAGCGCGATGTTGCTGCAGAAGCGCCCCTCGACCTCACCTCGTGTGCGGCGCTTCGTTCTGAACCGGCGTCGTGGCACAATCGTGGGCAGCGCGGGCAGGAGCCGTGCCGGGTCTCTGCGCAGCGCTCCGCTGTGCCCTGCAGGCAGGCGCCTGCAACATGGCGCTTCTCAGTCCTCTGCTGCAGCTGTGGTTGCCGTCGGACAACTACGGTAGTTCCGTGTCCCAAAAATCTTAAATGTGCCTTCTAAAAACCTCAGCTTGCGTTACACAGTAATAAGCAACAGTCCTTGAGGGGAAGTTACACACGAGTAAAGCTATTGCTTCTAAAGAATTAATTCACCTTTTGAGTAAAAGTGCCCTAACAGTCCATACATCGCCTTGGTGAGAACACAGAAGGAACACCAACCACAAGCAGACTTGAGCTCAGGACTGGGTTTTGAGGTGCTTAGGACCAGCTGCTGAAACCATGAGTTCGGAATATACTTTTCTTACAGCGGACAACAAATACAGGAATTTAATTGCGTGGATATATTTTATATTTGTACATGTTAATTATGTTTAATAAAACGCTGCTAAAGAATCCAATAGTTAGAGCTCTTACTTTGCATTTCCTGGTTCTGCTCTGCATATAAAGGCACATAAGTTAAGATAGGGCGTGAATCTTCAGTTTATAATAATTGGAGCACGCATTTAAATGGGGAAGAGGAGAGAATGGATGAAATCAAGGATTCATTACAGGGTTTTGATTAACTATTGGATTAAAGCTCAAAGCAGTATCACTTTAATGTGGATATTTTGCAACTGACATTTATCCCAGCTTAAAAAGTGAGTAAGTATACTGTTTAAAAAGCATCTTCTTAGATCATTTCCTGCCTTTAAGAATTCCTTGATACTGTAACACGTTCTCTTACCCGTAGGAACTTGAAGCCGTGCACCTTGGCTTTCCTAGTGGAACCAGTACTTCCCAGATGGGGGTTGGTGTGGACAGTGTGGTGTGTGAGTTGTGGTTTCAGAGCACAGCCTCTCCTCCCGAGGAAATGGCTGCTGCGGGTCTGTGGTTCTGAGTAAGACGTGATCACCCCGTTGTGCTACTGCTACTGAGGCAGAAGCATCCCCTTGACAGACCGCTAAGTTATAGGGAGTATGATGTGTACGTTAGAGGAAAAGAAAATTCACTGTTCCTTTCCCACAGCTGATCACTGTCACTTCTGCTTGGCGAAAGAGACCGCTAAAAAGGATGACTGTTTTTAGGAGGGGATGGTTGTGGCAAAAGAAATCCCGCAAGAAGCGGTGGATTAACCTCTGCTCTCAGAATGGTGGAGCATGAGCAAGGCATGCTAGTATGCAGCCCAGCTGTCTCTTCAGCACAGTGATGCAGCCCTCCTCGTAGTGCTCCTCTGGAGGTCAGTGAGCCTAACCACCCTCGCTGGGTAAGACAACCTTGAGTTTCATACCTGCTGCTGTGATCTGTCTTGCACTATAAAAACACTTGTCGGGCTCCTACACCTGCCCGCTGCTCTGTTGTCTGCTGGGGAGAAATAATGGACTACTTCAGACAGAAAATCACAGGGTACGGTCTCTGTGAGAATTTCAGTACAAAGGCAACAGCTGTTTTCAAGTAATGGCACATGCTTGCACGGGGCTGGAAGCATGCACGCCTCCCTCTTGTCCTCTGCTCCAGTGACTGCTGAGGAAAATGAGGCACGGCAATGCTTGCACTACCCTCTCAAACAGCTGCGCAGGTTAGCAGTCTTCAGTAACTGTTGGACAAAACTACTCGGTAAATGCACCCACTAGTCTCTTTTCAGATGATTGCACAAAGCGACGTGTAGTTGAAGAAAGGTATTTGAAAAGCGGCTGTAAAAGATGCTGCATGTAAAGATGCATTGTACCCATAAATAAATTCAAAAGTTAGGCAAATAATTAGAGTTTGTGCACCAGAAACCTGAATCTCCTTGTCTTAGAAGTTGCACAGAGGCTGGTAAAATCCTTGGTCTGTGTCAAAAAGCCGCTCTCCCCCCTACACCCCCGGAGATGGCGGGGGCTGTATCCGGAACATGGCCCAGCTCTGCAGTGCTTTGCACTACCGTGGCCGAGGTCTTGGTGTTGGGGGCAGGGGGCAGAACCTCTCATGTAGGCATGAGCTCAGCAGGACGCTAGTGTTTCAAAAATGCCAAATAATGTTCTCCGGATAGCCCCTGCGATAGCCCCACAGCTGAGTTCAGTGTGTAAATGTCTCTAAAGCCAGGTTACAAACTGCTGCATAGGAAGCCTCCCAGATAGCTGGTAAGAAATGCTTGGTGCAGGCAGCGATTGGGCTCTTTCTCCCTGATGTGTCATGCATGTATTCAGAGCTGAACATTAGGTGTCTCTCTTCACTAAAAATTGGGAGCACAGAGACTTACCTGCCCACTCAAGAGCTTGCCTGCCATCATCTGCACACAGCAAGTGTGGGCAGGACTCGGAGAGCTGAGCTCCCGCTCCACGGAGGGGGCCTGCACCCCTCCGCTACCAGCCAGGAGGAGGCAGGGCCTCAGTGGGTTTCAGGCTGTGGAGGGGGCTGCCTTGAGGCTGCCATCCTCGCTGCCTAGACTTGAGTGCACCTTAGGTGACAAAAATGACGATCCAAAATCAGGATCTGGATCTGTATCTCCTCCAGAGCCAAAGGCCAGGACCTGCTTTACTTTTTTCAGTACTAGTGCAAAGGTATCCCTGTGTTGAATGGCACAGAGTGGCAAGCCTTCGCTAGACGTAGCAGACAGCGGCTGATTTCACCTGTGCTTTGGCTCAAGGCTGCACCCAAGCTAAACCAGCCTCGCTGAGAGGCCAGGTGACTCGCGGTGCTAGCACACCCGGGGGCTTCCAGGACTCCTGCCAGTGTCTCTTCTGCTGCACTTGGTAGACATGGCATATGCAAAACGTGCAGGCATGCTGTAACCTATAAATCACTGATGAAAGCTTTGATTTGGTTATAGATTAAATTGAAGATGTATTTACTTAAATGGGAACTGGACCAGACTCCGAGAGCTCTCGCTCTACCAATTATGAGACTACAGTAAGATAAAAGGGCACTGCTACAGTTTACGTGCTTTGATTCTTTTAACACCCCCGCATTCATGTTACAATCTAACTGCTGATGATCATACTCATTTTTCTGAACAAGGCTCTTTTGAGCAAAAATAAGCAGAAAACAAAGTAGACACACCACAATAAAACCTCTAAACTGTTCTCCCTTTTCATCTGTGAGGGAGTGGATCCAAGCGTCTTACTGTTCTGCATTTATTCAATGCTGGCAGAACAGTCTTGCATAGAGCTTGCCAGCTGGAGGTCATGGCACTTCTCTAAGAGGCCAACAGTCCCCATCACCACTACAAAGCGGTCTTTCTGGAACGACATCTGAAGCCATTCCAGAGATACTGTAATAAAATTTACCATGGATTTGTAACCTCAGAAACATTTATTGGAAGTCACAGATAAACAAGTATTAACAGATAAATACAACCACTGGCAAACACTAACTTACATAGGGTGTAATCTATATATAATGGGTGTGCAAGAAGCTGGACAACCAGGTCAGAGCATTGGATAAGCTACTTAGTGGCACCACTTCTCTGCCAATTAGAGGGGGGGGTGGTATCTACTGATTTAAAACTGGCTGGATGCTATTACATTCAATATAACATTGAAATAGTGAAATAGTCTCAGGAGCTACAGTTCTACTGGGCCAAGTTCTCTCTCCATTTATATAAAATTCATTAATGCAATCAAGAGCGTCATCTGTCCTTTAATCTTTTTAAAATTAAAAATTGAATTTAGAACCTAAAGCCTAATCTTATTTTGATAGAAAATGCTTGCACTAGCTATTCTTGGGCTCAAGCCCAATATTGGCTACATGATCCAAATGAGCTAACCTGTAGAAAAATGATCAACGCACATGCAGGAATTTAAACCAGTACTGCTTGATAATCTTTAGCGGTCTCTTCAGAAATCCGTTTTTAACTGCAGTACTTGCTGCTCCAAGAACTTCATACATTCCAAAGCAGTGTCTTCAATGGATTTTGATGAGCCAGTAAGATTTGCAGCTAAGTACGGCATAACACCTGATGTCACTTGATTGAAGTAACACACCTGTTTAAACAAAAATAAACGATCCAAAAAAGCCTGCGGATTGCAATAGTTAGCCATTTTTTGCAGAGCCTAGATGAGTATCAAAGTTTTTATGGATGCAAATAGAAACACATAGTGCTTCTGAAGCTGAAGGCAATAATTAACAAAAAGAGCATGCCTTTTTTACAGTACTTTAGTGATCTCAGTGTCCTCACTACTGCCAGGTCCTCAAGCATGTAAGTAAATGTACACAGCAGTGCAGCAAGAAAGATTATGTGTAACCTGTTAAATACATGTGGTTTATGAACAAAGCCATTGCCTTGAAAAAAGAATCCCAGCCACTGAGAGCTGCTGAATATTTTCAGGAATATATTTTCTTAAATAAAAAATTATAGCCTTCCCATGGAAAAGAAGAAAGGAGGAACATTGTCATTGGTCCAGAGATGGGATTCACACTGCATAATTCCTGACATATGAAAGTTAAAGTTAAGCGCTTAATCTGAACTAATTCCTTGGACTTCCTCTATAGTTAGTGAAAAGAGATGGACACAACCGGAGACCAATTTAATGCAGTTTAATGCACACCTTCTAGAAGTGTATTTTAGGATTGAATGAATGACTCTCTGGAGGTGCCTAGCCACCTCCAGTGCTTAGTTTAGATTTCTTTCCCAACATTCAGATTGGCCAAAGTTGGGCAAGACAGATTCCACTTTGTGGCATAAAGAATGTCTTAATAACCACACTGAACTCTGGGGAAACTGACTCATTATTTTGTCATATTGCTGTTGCTGTTCTAGACTGTTAGCTCAAATGAGATTACATGCACATGTAATACTACAGGAAAGGAGGCACAGCTGAGGTCTGCAGAGCTACTCACTGTACAGGAGCTGTTGCTGTCACTGTAGATCTGGAATCCGGCACAAAGGATTTCACTTCTGCAGTATTCTGGAGAAGGTGGCATAGACGTGAGGGTAACTGACTTTACAGCTACTATGTAGGGTTCACTGCAGGGCAAGGGGAAGAATCAGACATTTCCTCAACAAGATGTTAAAAAAGATACATATAAATGACTACAGAGCACGCACAGCTATACCAAAGATGTCATTTTTATATGAAGGCAAACAAGCTCCTGTATGTTTAAAGACACATGTTAAAAGATTCAGCTCTCTTGAGTCTCAATAAGGCTTTATCACAGACTGCAATCAAGGAGACACTTGTGGAAAGCCACAGAACAATCACCCACATACAACACCTTCTTTTTTTTTTTACTTATCCTGCTCTCCACAACCCACGTTTACAGAATCAGGGTCTAGGAGCAACCCTTACTAAGAGGCTTTACAGTGTGGCCTCAGCAAAGGTAGACATGATTCAATTCCCAGATGCGGGGGGGGAAGCAAGCACAGTACAGAATACTGCCTTTTAGAAGCAATGTTCTGTTAACATGAAGAATTACGGAATATAAGAAAACAAATTGAGAATAAAGAATGGTAAGATACACCAAATGGTCCCATTTATCCATGTTTCATTATGCAAGAATAAAAGGAAAACTAATGAAAAAAAAAAAATCAATGTATGTTAAACTGATGAAGGGACTTTTTAAACCAAATTCAGCAGCAAAATTTACAGATACAATAAATGTGTCACACTGAGGTTTCAAGAAAGGCCAAGCACTTCCTCGAACAAGAAGATCTCCAGAATTACATTAAATGGGACTACAAAGTCACTTCAAACAAACAGACAAACTCCCAGTTATGTGCTTCAGCACATTGACAGGCCTTCTGGGACATGTTTTTTTCCAAATTGCCTGTTTGGAATTCTGGCCTATTTTCCCTCTTGATAGACCACTCCCGAAGAGTCACTATCAAAGAAGCAATACTGGACTATGCTACAAATATGTGATGCTCTGAATTTACTTCATCACACCCTCATGTTGCAAAACAAATCTGGTTGTGCAAACTCAGCCATCAACATACTGTATTTTAGATCAGCTACTAATCTAATTTCTTAAAAAATAAAGTATCATCTTTGTCACCCAGCGACAGGCCCAGATAAAGGTCAACAGTAATCAAAACTGTGGCTCCAAAGTGCTCACAGTTAAACTTGAAATTGCATACTCACCTTGGCTTACAGGGTTGCCTTTGAGACACAAGAATCACAAAGTCTCTGGGTTTATGGCCAGTCATGGGTGGAGACGTAACATAATATATCTTCTCATCTTCATTCACAGCCTGTAGGACCTCACAGCTTCTGCAAATACATGTAACACACACATGCAGACCCTGATTTATGCAATAGCATCTCTTACAAAAAACACAGTACAAACATATATTCCATCCTAACATTAAGCCTATGATTTTCATGTTCAGGCAGCAAGGAAGGGAGAGGAACACAGAGTGAAAAATTGAGGTTTTCTGCAACATCTTATCTGACATCACCTCTCTGTCCCACAAAATTGTTTAAAAGTGCTGCAAGGTGCTGGAGCAATGTCTTAAAAGCTTATCTTTTGCATACTGTTGATTCCTGTCTGGAGTGACATTAGCTTGCATGCCATGCAATGCTGAATGACCAAACATTGTCCATCTGACACACCACAGGAAAGACAGTCAGGAAACATTTGTACGATTTTATTCGAAGTTGTGTCCTATTGCATTCAGACAGGGCCACCTGGGTAGGACACAGTCTTTCACTGTCTTGGAAGTACTCACCACTACATCCGAGTTTTCACTACAGAAGAAAGTCAGAATTTTCCTTTACACTGGCAGTAATTGATTTATTTAATTTCAGCTTCTACTGCCTCAGCAATAAACACTGCTAAGCTGGTACTCTATTTTGACCAGTCAATCAGGCTTCATGGTAGTCATAAGAAATCTGAGATACTGGCTGTAGATATGTTAAATCAACACAATATTTCTTCAGATTTCATTTGTTACAAGCCATGAATTCAGCAGAGATTGTAAATTTTCAAATATCCCTAAGCTTCCACTTTCACCCTCTGATAAAAATTTCGAAGGATAGAATAACCAACTAATGTCTGACTAAAGAAAAAGCTTCTCCTGTAAGAGAATATTCACCAAATCAAATTAGTATCGTATCAATTCAATTGCCTCTAGTCATTATTCTACACCATATAAGGTAAATAAAAAAACCTCAAACACCTTTTACAGCAATTCTGAAACCCATTTCAATTCAGATACACTTTATAAGATGTTATTTTTCTTAAAATATGCATTTTGAATATCCCCATTTCTTGATTTCTCACTTTGACTGTATGATGAAGCTGAGCATCAGTGTCCCAAACAACACAAACATGAAGGAGTCCACAGCTTTGCCTTGTTTCTTACAGAGAGCATGCATGATATATTGACCTCAAGTTATATGCAGCCTACTAAAATTAACTCTTTCAACATACATTTTAGTAGGCATGGAATTTTGTTCATTTTAGAAAATGGTAACCTCTGTCCCAGCTCTTTCTTTTGACAATCCAGGCCAACCATATTTTTAAGTCAGACTTAGGAGAAATTAAATTTTATTTTTAAGGTAAAAAAACCCAATCCATACTTTGACTAATGAATCTTCAATGTCAACTTCTTACAGCAATTTCTTCTTAATTAAGTAGAAAAGTGTCAACATCTCAAAAATATTTGTATTGGAAAAGGTTAGTTGTCAGTGGATTTGAACAGTCTTAAAGAAAAGTAAGTTCTTACAGGAAATGTTTGTCCCATTGTTGGCGGAATGTGAAGTCAGACAAAAGGGCGAAAGCTAGATGTGACGGTATCTTCACTTGCATTTCAACTTTGAGTGACAACACATCACCCTCCTCATGAGTCCATATTTTTATCTGAAAAAAGTGAATATCATATTAAAAACAAAGAATGATTGCTATAAATATTTTAACAATTATAGATGTTACACATTTAGGACTTAAGCAGATTTTCTCAGGAATACATATGAAACTATATCTGATAGATGAAAGGTGGATGAGTATTCAAGATTAGTTTTACATTAAAATACAGCACAATGTAAAATCTAATACACTGATAGCATAGTGACAACACACAGATTTAATTACATCTGGTTAAGGATAGCTGAATTAGCTTGCAAGTGGAAATGAATGAACTAGAGGCCAGTATGTCCTCTTTCTCACAGTATATACGGTCTCTAAGTACCTTTCACTGCAGGTGCCTTAGAAAAAATTGAGTTATGGGACCATGTAGATGTCACCACTTTCATAAACAACAGCAGATATGCTTAGGAATGAAGGTAAAAACCTTTTCTCAACCTTGCTATAGCAAGCCTCCTCACAGAGGCTTCAGTTCACTGACTCCAAAAGCTAATGGGACAACCTGAGGACCTCATGCAATTCTTTCTGTGAATTTGGCATCAGTGATCAGTGACAGATTAGACTTTTTCAATCTGGGCAGGTACTGGTCCAGAATTCTACTGTTTTTTAACATGGCCCTTGAGCCAGGTTGAGTTAAGGAAATACAGCATAAATATGGGAAAGCAAGGGAAGGTAACATACGATTTTTAGGAAGGAATGAAAGAAACTTTATTAAGGTAGATTTATCTGCAGTAGTAGTGATGGTTACTTAAAGCTTTCCAGGAATTCAAAAGTTAAGAGTAGGGTCCATTGGATGTGGCACTGGTGAGCAGGAGCAAGCTGGAGTGAGGCCACACTAGATGAAATGCGCATCCCTGCAGTATCTGTGAGGCAACACAGACTTTAGCAAAATAAGACAAACCAAGCAACTGCCCTCCCTGCCGCCAAGATTTTGGAACGTATCCAGCAGTCCTGCGCATTGTAGCTTTGGGGAGCTTACCTACAGACATCCAAAAGGGACCAGATTTTTAAAAAAGCACTTTCTGAGCTTTAAGAGGTATGATTTTGGATGATGTATGGATTACCTCCTTGATCCACCTCTCCAACCTGTGCAGTCCAGTAGCTTGTCTTTAATTAGTAATTAGTAGAGTTCAACTACTTCAGCTCCCTTTGCCCATGCAAATCAGTCACATGTTGGCCTATGCCCCCTTCCCCTAAAATGACTCAAAATTTCTCTTTCCAAAATATCTTTTCTTTCTCCCCTATTCTTTACTGTGAAGCAGAGGCCCCAGAGTTAACAACATACTGAAAAATTATTTCAAAACATAGTTTTGCCTCTCTTGTCCCACACTTGCAGTATCTTGTCTTGATTATTTTGGGTCTATTTCTTGTCATAGGCCTGAACCCTAACACAGAGAATTCAAAAGGAATAGCCTGCACATAACAATGTACACACGATCCTTGAAAAAGAAGGGCTTGCCATCTTCCATGTAAGAAGATGGGTAGAAGAGAGTGCTTAGAAGTAGCGGACTTTATTCCGAAATTTTAATCTGATATGCTAAATTGCTTCTCAAATCCTAGAAAGTTTAACAGATTTTCATTTCTAAGTGATACAAAATTCGTAAGCGTCACCATCTCTGTTGCTTTTTTTTTCCTATATCAAAAATTAATAATCTTTTGGTTTACAGAGCATTTGTGCAACAACACAGATTTTGTATGTTTCCGTATTTTCATGGTTTTGGGAAAAAAAACCCAATATAATCCAGCAAGCATCTTGCTGAAGTTAAGTTTGGGGTAAAACAAAAGGCTTAAGGGCCTTAGAAACCAGCTACAGGATGCATGGATCAATATTCCTTTAAGGCAGAGAAAAGAAATCATGTCTTAGAAGTCTTCTAGACTTGAAAATCACAAAATGAAGTAGGAGGTGCAGCTGTTAAAACATTTCTCTGCTAAGTGAGCACTGGCAAGGCCAGTATTAGTATAGGCCTACAAGTCTTGTGGCTCTATGTCAAAGAGCTCACAGTGCCACCTTCTACGTTCAAAAACTGTCAATCGAATTGGCGTCATTCTAATTCCATGGAAAAGGGAACAAATCCTCTGAATACACAGAAGACATGCTGCTTTGCAAAAGCTACCTACTAGAATATTTCATCCCAAAATACAGTTCAGTCTAACGTCTTTGACAGTCTCCTTGCCCATAGCATGACTGCCTTCAAGCAGAGCACTGATCAGCACTACCACCTGATTCCTACTATCGGTTCTTTCAGCGTCTCTCCAAGAAACCATTTCATGGACACTGAAGAGATCTGTTTGAGTGGAGATGCTACTATGCATGTCTATCCAAGAAGGCTAAGTAGTTGTTCTGTGCCTACGCCACTGTATACCCTAAGTACAAGGATCAAGACCTGGTACATGAGTGCAGAGAACATGAGACTGGTATGATATCCGTGTGGTGGCCTGCAGTGCTTGAGGAAAGATGATGTAATGTTCTGAGCTAACTACAGTGTCTTAAGGGATAGTCCCTTGTGCTCACGTTTGCAAAACCGACAAAAGTGAGCGTGAAACAGTGATAAGTGAACGAAACTAACATTTGCCAAGATGGTACGTTTCATTAACCGGAGCTGGCAGAAAGATTTCCTTAGAGCTTTATCTATACCAGCATTTAGGGGCTCGAGCACACATCTAAATTTGACTGGAGGAGTTATACAGGTAAAGTCCAAAATTGGTTTCACTCTCATTTTCTTTGCCAAAGAGCAAATGTAATCCCCCTAGTGGGTTAATTTAGAGGTAAGCATACAGTCACATATGGGGACAAGTGTACCCTCTGCCTACTGCTGACATCCATGCTTTGTCAGCAGCCTACCTTGTGCCTGCAAGTAGATGCTAAATAAGCAAGAAGACTGACTTACGGAATAAATGGTATACAACAATCGAAGTGGCCTACAATCATAACTATGGTTTGCTATCACTGTTCATTGCATACATGCTTCCAGAAAAAAAAACAAGTAGTGTGCTACCCTGGATCCCTGCCACTTCTTTACGGAATATCTAATGACTGACAATGCCAGATTATGCAGAAATGTCCAGAACAATGGGAATGGATACCTACTCTCCATCCATTGACAGCATCAGTGTGATTTGCATCCTACATCCTGCCCGAGTCAGATTTTGCTGGATTTCAGATACCTACTTCAATTAGATGAAAGAACACCTAGAAAAAGCTACTCAAGATCTCAAGATTTTCCACCAGATAAGGCCTAAGTGGCTTAGAGGTAGATCTTACTATCAAGACTCCCCAAAAAGGGGAGAAAGTTCCAGACTCCAGTAATACTAGAAGGTACCTGGTGGCTTGCTGAGAGAGAGAAGTAACATCGTGCTGTTTAAAATGTCATCCAGAATGTGCATGGGTTTTAGTTTTTTGTATGAAGTAATTTTTTCACAACATTTGGTGCTGGTTCTATTACAGGTTTCAAGCATTTAGGGTTAAGAAAGAAACTGAGATTGTGGCAGTCCCAGTGGATGCAGAAAGGAAGTTTCATATGGATAATAATAGTCTTAGCAGAGGCTTGAAAATAACGCTGAATGTTTCAGTCTGATTGTTCAAGCTTGCTTTTTCCAGCATGAGTGCTGTCTGTCATTTAATTGGCACAACAGTGTTTGCTGAAAGTTATTAACCACTGGAACAACCTACACAGGGAACTGGCAGATTTGCTGTCACTGGAGTTCCTTATGATTTATATATGCTCTTACTCAAGTAGCTTACTGACTAGATGCAAGAATCAGTAAGTGAAGTTTCATAGCCTGTGACGTGCAGGAGGTCAGACTAAAAGATTTTAACAGCCTTTTCTTGTCCCAAAACATCTCTGAATCTACACGATCTTAAAGTAATCTGCCAGTCACTAACCATATTTCAGAAAACAAACCTTAACAGATATCTATTGATAGTTTGGAAAACATGCACTGTGACTAGGTTAAAACTGAGTTTTCTCAGCTGAATTATTTTGCTACTGGTTTTCTTAACAGCATCTTCCTATCTTAAAACTGGCTTACACAAGATTCCTTACTGATTTTGAGATTATAACACTGATTGATAAATGGAGAAGTGCTTTGCTTTCAGGCTTTTGTATTTTTTTAATAAAAAAAGGGCAGAAAGAAAGATATCCGAAAGGAAAAACGTGCCTAGAAAAAGAGTCAAGTGGTCTTCTGAGAAGGCAAAGACTGAAAAATATGGTATATAAATTGCTGCCACCTGTCTACTGGCAGTGTCCACTTGGAACTATCACAGGATAACACCTGCTATTCGAAACGTCTCCCATGCTGCAGAGCTGGTAAAGGCAGTATATTACAGACTGCCGCACACATTTTGCTTATCACAGTGACATGAGAAGCCCCACAGATCACCAACAGCACTGCCTAAACAAAGATGTCCAAGTTTGGTGTTTTGCTGGAATCAAAAAATTTGGAAAAAACACAGAAGCATGTCAGTTGTGGCAAAAAAAAAAAGTCTCACAGAAATGAGATACGAGTTTGTTGGTGTTTTTACACTCTCCTGTGTGTTGTTCAACAAGCCCAACTGATCAGTTGCTGGCAAGCCTGCCGTTGTGGGATCCCAAGTCCTATGCTCACCAGTCATTCAGACCATCGTAGAACTCCTCCATGGAACTTCCAGGTTGCACAGCTCCCTGGACAATCAGAGGTTGCTTTGCAACATTTCAGGGAAACTCTAGCCACAGCCAATGTATTTATTTACAAATATAAAACATTGCTTTTCTCCACCCACCTCTTACGGTGAAACATAGCTAAAGTGGCTATGTAGCTATTCCACAATTATGCACTTACATCATCCAGTGTACTGGTTATTTCCCATCCTGGTTTTGCTGCTAGGTGTGTCAGTGCAGCTATATTGCTGTAACTCACATATGCCTGAAATGTAAGATACATTTCTAGAAATGAAAGGGTAAAGGTACATTTCACTCAACATTCCAGAAATAAGATGTTCTTTTTCTATCATTACCCCTCAATCGCAAACAAATGTGTATTTTCCCATAAGTGTTTTCCTTCCAGAAAACACAGTCCAGTAGTTTCTGAATTAAATACTTTCAATAGCTAGATTATGTGCTCACACGGCTGTTGGCAAAACAACCCTAATTAAACAACAACAAAATACTACTTTGGGCTTCTCCAATTACAAAACAATGCAGAAAAACTGTGACCACCAGACAGATAATACAGGTAACCTCTCAGACCACTAAATTAATGGTTTTGTCCATCTTCCTCCTAAGTAATTAAAATCTACTAGAAAATTAACCTCTTCACTGCTATCAAGCCGTAGTCTATCTTGGCAATTGCTTTACAAAGCAGGCTCAGAGCAGAGAAAGTGCAAATATATCCGTTACTTATGCTTGACTACTGTGGATGGAGTTCTCATTTAACCACTGTATAAAGAGAATACCACAGCTTTAGAGACTTTAATGACAGGTTTTAATTTAATATTAAATAAATCTTAAGTAAGCCGTTTTTATCATTGTGTGCATATTTATATTTATTGTTTTGCAGAAAAGAAATGCTGCTTCAAACAGTGGAGATGCCTCTGTTAACAGCAAATCACTTCCTGCATTATAATTCTCAATTATTTATTTTGTCATGTAATGGAAAAAGACCCAGTAAAATTTCTGGGAGCCACTGAGATCTTAAATGCAATGAAAATTTAACCACAAAAATTCATCACTGAAAGAAAATTTAGGGTGTCTATAAATCCACCTAAATTCAGGTTCATTGCTATTGATTTTATGACAGAGGAACATTCTATGGCCTAGCATGTCCAAGCCAGAAAAACGTACCACTTGATGCAGAGTATCTAGGAATGAACATATGTTTTCACCTCTCTTTCCCATAGAAACAAAGTTTACAGTATTTCACTGTTCATCTGTCGTTGGTATTGCCACGTCTCTCCCCCCACTTTTAGCGTTTACTAAATGGTCTCCTCACAGCAATTTTTGAGAAAGTCAGTGGCTGGGTAAAGGAAAAAAAAAAACCAAAACCTAAACTAATTCCTCAGCAGGAGAATTCAGCTTTTTAAAAGCTGGGCACACTGGGATATAAATCTACAGCTCGGCTACTTAAGGGACCACTTGTTAAAAAAGTCTATCTTAAAGACATTTTTTATGTTTTGTATGAAACTTACTTTTAAATCAGTAATTCTAGAAGAAAAAAATGTTCGTCTTATTACACATTTAACCATTCTTCCATGACTATCGTAATGCTTAAGTACAGAAGGTCCACTTTGGAAACTGATACGGCCTGTACAACTGTTTTGCACACCCAAAAAGTGTACAAATACACCATTTTATGCAAGCAGGTGTTAGGACAGATTACCTGGTTGCTTCTCTCCCAGGGATCAGAAGGTTTGTCTTCTTTAGCAGACAACATGCATTTTCTAAAACAAAATTCAAAAGAAAAATAATAGCATGAATTGATTCTTTACAATTTCTTCTATATATACTAGAAACAATCACTTTTACAGGCTTAAGTATCTTCTAAATACTTTACAGGTATTTTATCAATTTTCGGTTGCAAGCCAGGTTTGCAATAGCTCCTTTTTCTTCCCAAGAAAGACGGGGAAACAAAATAACGTATAGAGCAAAGTATTTTTGAGACAAGTAGCCTCTAATAATTTCAGTGTAACTCAGGCAAAATTACTTGGAAAGTAAACCAGGAAAGTAACTGCAACATAGCAGTTATGTTTGAGGAGACATTGACTACTTAACAAATGATCACTTTTTTAGAGGATACATTAAAAAAATTAAGTTTTCAAAATCAAGTTCTCATTGTAACCCAACTATACCTGGCTAGTCGAATTCTCCTTCGGGCAATAGCTCCATGGTATCGCCTCACACCATCCTTTATAAAAAGTAAACCAGACAGTAACATATCTGATTATTTTAGGACGCAGTCTAAAAAAAGACAACTAAAAATTATTTCTTACAGATGGACAAATGCCAGAGGCGTATTACAAATAAATAAAGAATTGTACTTTGTACATTGGCCTTTCCCCAGATTAACCTGAGTCAGTGGTTTACTTCTGACTTGACAATATTCCCTTAAATTTGCAAGAACAATCCAATAAGAAAGTTGTATCACAGTAGCATACTCCTAGCACTTTTTGGTCCTAAACCAGTGGCAGCTGGGCAGTGCACCACACACATTCTACTCTTTCTAAATATGCCACCCACCAAATAAACTATTAATCCAATTCATCATCATCTGATGTTCAAAGCACAAAGGAAGCATGGAGGAATTCCTATTTTAGTGCACATGGATCTGGGACACAGAGCAAACATTGCACAAACAGTGTGATCTGCCCTTCAAGGAGGCAGGTCTTTCCCTTCTCTTATTATTACTCTGCCAGGGTGGATTTTTTTTGAAGCACGGAAGTGACCCAAGAACGTACACCACACCAAACTGCACTAAAGGTCAATAGGACTTGTTATCTTGAAGGATATGTCACTTTGGAAAAGCTTCTTTTCCTCAGCTTTTAAGAGCTGACATGTAGCTTCTGGAATAAGAAGAATCTCCAGATTAGTGCATCTCAGCCTTCTTTAAATCAAGGACTACATAATATTTTTTGAAGACATCTCTTGTCTGTTTTGTAGAGCACTGCCATACCAGCTGTCACTTTCAGTCAAATGACCACTGAAAGTTTAAACTCTCTTGAACACATACTAATTTTCCCAGATTTGTTGCTTTACTCCAAAGGAATGGGTGTACATGTTATCTTGTCGCTTAGCTTGTGGATGCCCCTCTAGGCAGGTCTTTAAGGGAAGCACTGTTTCTCTGACAGAAGCTAAGCTGCTATGGCGCTTTGTTTTTTTTTTTTTTTTAAAGAGGAAGAGTTAGTTTTTCCTCTTGGAACAGCCTGAAATTGGCAGTAGTGAACCTTACTGCCTCAGCTAGTACATAAGACACCTTGATTCATTCGTCCAGTTGCCATCCTACAAAATACAAGTTCACTGATGTTAAATAATCATTTAATTTCTGTCTATGCTGGCTGACTAAAAATCTCGTAATTGGAACAGTAAGGTTAACAACAGGTGACATCACAGCAAATAATTCAACAATAGTATTCACAGTGCTCCGAGTGCTTCATGAATCACTTTCAGGGAAACACGTGCTGAGATCTCCATGTCAAAGGAGCTGGAAAGCCCACCCATATCATGGGATTTGATTCCTACAAACTTCTTTATTAACTCTATTTCTTGTCTTCATTAAGGGTTTATAAAAATAACTTTATTCACTGAGCACTTAGGAGTTTCATCTAGAGTCAGTGAAGATTGCACATATAGACAGGTGCAAAAAACTGCAAAAAGCAGATTCTTCTTCCCTGTCCATCAACTAACTACGAAATTTCTAATGATAACTACCCTCCGCTACACTTCTCAGTTTTGGATGACTGAAGTTAACAACGACAAATCTTTCACTCAAAGGCAAACATTTCATTTAGAGGTTTCCTCTTCTGCAAGAAGATGCATTTCAGTGCCCTGTTCAGTCCTTGCTTTCCCAGCAAGGTTACAGGGGCTGGCTGTGGGACATGCAATGTGCCGGGTTGGACCACATAATCTCATGTATGCATTCATCCTACTCCTGAGGATGAGACCTGACCTTTGTAGTAGGTTTGATTCTGGGGAAGGTGAACAGCTCTCCTTTGTCATTTACAGTCTTAAAAATGAGAAATGCGCTGTTAATATGCCGTGCTTGGTCCTTGATCCATTCTTCACAGTTAAAAGCCTCAACACGGACACCAACCTCCACGCTGAAATAAAAGTTTAAATTAATTATTGAACTACCACAGGTGATGCAGAAGCAGCCCTGAGACATACTAAGAAGGGCTGCTGTACACCTTCCTGCGTGCAAGAAGCCTGACTCAAATACCTTCTGTAGCATACAAAATAAATTACTCACATTAGACACATTTCAGAAATAAAATAAAAGGTGGCACTAGCTAAATAGCATTAATAAAAAGAGCGAAAATTCAGCTAAGTAGCAAAATACGAACACCGGTAAGCATACTGTGAGAATCAGACAGCGAAAGTGAACAAGATTATATTGATTTGACATTCAGCAGAAGCATAGTATGAAGGTAATTCATGCCCTGCTAGTGTTCTGCAGGGACCAAATACACCTACAAAGAAAACAGACATGGAAGAGCAATGCCAAGATAACATTTGTCCAGCGTACAGAATTTGGAGGAGGAATTACGTTAGTTTCTGCCTTCTTGTGGCTTGTCTTGCTACACCTCTTGCAACTTCTGAACATGTCCTCCTACTGGAACGGGGCTCCACACAAGTTTTGTCACACCCCTGACATAACCAGAGGGGCTGTTGGCCCAAAGTGCCATTTCTGTAGATGGGGAAACAGCCTAGCAGAGAGGTGCGATCCCTTTGCCAAAGGTCAGAGGAGAGTCATTCTCTGTGAGGCAAACACAATAGTAGCCCTAAAACAGCAGAGGAGATAGCGCGTGCATAGGAGAAAGAAAGAGAGAGTAACCATTAGTAGGCAGGATATGCGCAAGATTGGTCAACAGCCACAACACTAAATTCCAGGAGCAGGAGTTCAGTGTGCCAAAATCTATGTTTCATGCTTACAGTGACCATATACTCAACGAAAGATAAAGTTTCAGCATGGGCTGCAGCCATTTATTCCAAACAGCAACTAGCAAAGCCTCACCTCTGCAAACACCCAAACCAACAATGGGAAGAAATAAACAAACAAAGCATGAATTTTGCCAGTAACTAGCAATAAATAGAACCCAGATCTGTCAACAGATACCAAGACAGGAAGATCCTGGCAGCAAGCTGGAGTCATCTGAAGAATCAAAGTTGTGGGGCCAACTCACCCCTTGAAAATCCCTGAATTTCAGAGCGATATTTATGGTCTGAGTTTGCAGGATTGGGATTTGCTTACAAACGATCTTCAAATTGAGAGAGAAGTCAGAGAATAAATGTTTTTAAACTTTCACTGAGAAAAGTAAAAAAAAAAGCACATACTGACAGATAGTTATAGATATAGATATATGCCTCAAAGCTCCAGCTGAAAAATAATTCATTTAATAACGCAAATCCTTCTGATAGCTGAAACCTAAAACACGCAGTTAGGCTGGTGCTGGAGAAGTCAAGGAAGACAAGGAGATGAGGAGCTTTACCTATTCTGAAATGTATTGTTCACAATTGCATTGAAGACAAGACGGTCACCCACAAGGGATGGTCCCCAGAATTTAAACATATTGACTGATTTCAAGACGGGATATGAACGACAAAGACGGCTGAAAAAAAAAGCAAGAGAGACAAAGAGCAAAACATACAGTCGTGTTAAAGAACCTCCTTTGTTAGGTTTGAAGTGGGTAGTGATTAGAGCAACAAGATTTGCACAACCTAGAAGAGTACAATATTACACTAATTTATTCAGTAACCCACTGAAATACAGTTAACATGTTCAGCTCCTAGAGCATATAATTCGAGCTTCAAACATAATACCACTTATGTCATGCTGTTTCATTTTCAACACACTTTACAAACACCAACTAATTAATTCTCGCTGCGTGATATTACCTTCTTTTGGAGCCAGACCATGAATCCCTTACCTACAGAGTAACAACTTACTTCACAGAGTTTCATTAATTTCTATACGGCTGCACGGGGAGTAGGATATTGCTCAGTACGGAAAAATGCCAGATTCTAAACCCCTTAAACAATTAAAAGTAACCTGAGCAGAAAGGTTGAGCACCAGAAACAGTGTTCAAGCAAAGCAATGTCAGTCCATCTATTCTTTTTAATATTTGTACTTTTTTGCTTATTTGTCAGATGTTTTCTGCTAGTGTTATACGAAATAAGAATAAAAAACTACTCGTATAACTGCCAAAAGCATAGTTGGTTTTGTTTTTTTTTTTAATTTTGTCCGGTTTACTAAATTATGTGCAGTTCGCTACTGGTGCTGAGCTGGGAAACTCATCTTTGCACACACAAAAGGGACAGAAAGATGTTGAACTGATCACTTATCAATTCAGAAACGCAGAACTGTTGGCTAAATTTCAAAAGCTGAGGGCACAATAGTGTATTACAAACACGCAAATCTTAGTAATTCTGCTCCCTTTGTCCTTCCAATTGCATACCTGCTCACCTGTCTTTTCTTATTTCAGACCTGATCCTGTACTGTGTTCAATTACATGTAGTCAGGCTCAGCTGCGTTGTCCTACTGAATCTCTTCAAACTGCTTGTGAAATAGGCTGCAGCCACTGGTAAAACTTTGCTGTTTAGTACAGAAGACTGTCTATGCCAGGCGAGTACCCTTTCCATGAGCATACTAGCAAAGCTGTTCTTTGGACTGGCACAGTGGACAAACAGATACACACCTGATCAAACACAGCTACCCTGCTAAAGGAAAAGTTTTGCAATATTGTGTCATCTACACTAGGGAATGCCAATAACTCATTGCTTCTCTGACCTTCACAGATGTTCCAGAAAAAAATCTGCAGTACAGGTACAACTTAAGGGTTTGTGGAATTGGGATCTAGTCTGCAAGCTCTCCGGCGTGGGCAAAAATGAGGTTACCTCAGCAGTTCTAAATGTAGTCAAAGCCCCACTCTTTACTGGGATCTCTGTGCATCACATGAGTAGGGAACAATATACAATAATACCATTTATTTTTAGACTTTGAAAAAAAATGCTATACCCTCATGCATGTGTGCAAAACTCCTCAATAAGAATCCCATATGCACATCTGAGAACAGATTTTTCATTGTGCAGTTTTTATACTTGAAAGTACAACTTTGTAGCGTTCCTAGCTTTTAACTCGACTGCACTCTGCAAACTAATGTACCGGTATTGTTAAATGCACACAATTATCTGTAGCTAATTAATTGACTGGTACATCTTTTTAATAGGCTAATACATTCAAACGACTTTCTTAATTTCATTAAGAATAATTTGCTCTTCTGATTTAAAATACTAAATGGTGATCTTATTTACAATGTTCACCATAAAGATGCAAACACAATATTATTGAAAATAAGAGAAGAACAAAACAGAAATTTGGCCTAAATATTCCATTTTTCCTGGAAAACTATGCCCTGAATGCTATCACTGCAAGTTTAAGAAACAGGAAAGTACAGATCCAGTTCAAACTAATATTACTAATATGCAAATGGCTTTACTGCTATCTGCAAGATTTTCATTTATTGTCCAGCCAAAAAAGTGGAGGGGCAGGGGGAGAGGGGAGAAGCAGGGTACCTTTAAAATGCCCTTTGAAACTTATTTTTCAAGGGTTAGCCCTCCTCTTCCGTTTCTCCATCACAATTTGTGGCCATAGCAACTCTTAACTGGCACCTTCAAAGGTCAGGTCTGATTGTGAGTGGCAGGTTTGTAGTGAGACTAGCTATTTCTCAAGCATAAACTACAAAATCTCTGTTTTCAACAAGCCTCTGTCACCAGCTATTATTCCTGAGATTTTCAACATGACAAATCATGTCTGACATTCATTATTTCAAAGAAATTTTTTTCACTACTTCATTTGCTGATGTTTTTCTTTTCTTTTTAAACCTAAATGTGACTCTCACTAAGTAAAATTTATCAAATGAAAACAGGTAAATATTTTGGGTCATATTATGACAAAAATCTGAAACAACCCCTTTCAAGCCAATAAAATTACACACTGGGGTAAGGTCAGTGCATTCTAATGTTACTAAAGCAAGCTGTTTATCCAACCACTACAGAAAATCTGTTGTTATCAGTAGAACTACTGGCTACAAATCAAAACTATATGAATAATGAATGGGGAAGTCATTTAATTATTAAAGTTAAAAAGCGAAAACATATCTAACATCCCTGCAGTGAATTAGGTCACTTGGTATGCAAAGAGAATTCAAACTGGAACTCAAGTGTTGCTTACAAAGCAGCTTTGTATAGAGTCCAAGAACAAGGAGGGAGAAAAACAACGGTTTGATTTCAGGGGAAGAGAAATTAAATTATTATATGTCTAGGCCATACTGACAAGCAATACTAGGCAGTGTCACAAAAATACTTCACACTTATTACCTGAAGATTTCAGAGCCCTTTAAACTGCTATAAATATTACAACCCATAGGATGTGGGACTTGAGAGAGACTGAAAGGCTAAGTGACTTGCTGAAGGTTATGCATCCATTCTGTGTGCGCACCAACAAAACAGAACCTGTTTCTTTTCATTCTTCTTCTCTGACTTATTCTTTCTTCTGGCATAAGGATCTGCAGACTAACATTTAGAAGGCTGTTCATTTTTGGATATCATGTGATACAGGGTTAGTATCAGTTTTATCCTGACTTAACGACTAACTCTGCTTTTAAAACACTGCACCAACTATAAGGAGGCCAGGTTTCTATTCCTATTTCCAATGCTGACTTTCTGCAGAGAGTTTCAGGAGGATAACATAGCTTCTTTGCCTTAGGGTCTGCATGTATAACAGAAGAAGAATAATATTTGACTCCCAGAGTGATGTGGCATGCTGTGGGAAATGTACCACACAAATAGTTCAAAGGCCTCCTGCAATCTGAGGAGAAAGAAGTCTCAAAGGTTTGGGTCTGTATTCTTCATAAAATAAATCCCAGTGAAACCCTTAATATTAAAATCACATCCATTTAGAACCATATGCAAAGACTATGATGTAGAAAAGTACCTTGCGGAAATACTTGCCACTGTCTCCATCCAAGCCATGATCTGGCCACCAAAAGTGTTTCCATGATGGTTTGCATGAGGAGGCTGGACAAGCTCAATACTCTGTACATGAGTAAGGTCAGTTGAAACCGCATCTTTCTCTTCAAAAGTATCTGAAATACAGCAGCAATGTGTTAATGAATTATTTCAGCTAGTAACTCTAATAGCCAAGAAGAAAATACCCTCAGTTACTGAAGCGTGCAATTTACTTCAGACACAATGAAAAGAATAAAAAAAGAAAGACACAGAAGACCTCTGTTCTTTGCAAGGGAAGCAAGAAGGCTGAAGATTTGCTTCCAAGAGACGTAAGAGGCGGGGGATGGTGCACCCGCAGTCTATCACAGCACAGTGATCCTTCCCAGACCTCCAAAGAAGCTGTGTCAGAAGCAGTTACTGTGAAAGTTGGCTAGCTGTGAATGCAGGCAGCCAACTGCCTCACCATGTCCTTGTGATTATTCATGGTTGCTATGCATGACCTCTAACAGATGTTGTCAGAGCAGTTTATCACTGATTCAAATGCCTTTCATAGACTTTGACCACCATGTATGATGGGCACCTGTACAAATGTGTCTAATTAAGGTTAAGTATGACATGATTATTTCACAACCTGTTACAAATCTTGTGATTACCAGAGACAATATAGAACACAAGAAAGAGAGAAATATGGATTGGAATCAGTAACCACCTTCCACTACCTGAGCATTTCCAATTCCATTTTCAAATGTTTAGCCATACATCCTCACTCTAATCTTTGTCTTTTCAGTTATATTTTGAAAGAACAGATTTAGGCGTGAGATGATGCTGTCATTTTAAAAGTGCATATCTGTGCTAGAAGCTGTTCGACCTGAATTGTACTTTTGACTTTTCCCATAATTAACTAACTTTATGATTATGTAAATGTAGGGACACATTTGACTAACTTGCACTTTGGACCTACTTAAGTTGTTGCCTAAGATCCACTCAGAAGACAAATTTCGCTTTCCGGATATGATTTATACCTATTTTGCTACCTGGCAGCCTTTACACACAGTATTTTCTTCTCTCTTTCCCCTATTTTTGTTCTGTCTCCTTAAGGAGGTGCATTAGGGCTAACAATGATAAGATCCTTCGAGGAAGTTTCCAGGCAAGGCAGTGGAAACCAAAATCAGCAACCTCTGGTTTGTCTTTCATGGTATTAAGCTGTCTCCTACGAGACAATTACCATGAAGACAAATAACTTGTTTGCTTGTAGCAAACAAGTCTCTTCAGTTCTACACAGTCTTACTAAATTGTTAAAGACTAGAATTTATATTTACAACAGGTTTCATCTTTCATCAGTAAACCCACATAATGTCTGTTGTTTACACACAGAGTTACAGCTCAGATTTTCCAAATAGCAGCATATTTGTTAACTGTTGTGAATAATTTCTTTTGCAGAGCAACACAGCAACTTTTGAGCAGAACCGTCTTTAAGAACAGAGATTACTATCAGAAATAAAGACGAACCTGTTTCTTGGCTCAATTTTTCTAATTTGGTTGTGAGGAGTTTAAAATTTTTTTTTTTTCCTGTTTTGACCTCCATGTAATGAAGTTTCTCCTGCTTGTTGGGAATGATCTCAACGGCATAAGCATTATTCTTAGTGCTTTCTTGCAAAGACACAGCCATAAGCCTGAGTGAATTTTATCCTTCTATCTACATTACAACTAGTGTCATAGGACTTTATGACCGTATTGCAAAGTTCTGTGTGAATTGTTAAACCTTACGCATATAACCTACATGAAGATCTGCATTTCACATCTATTTAATGCATGCTTGGCCTTCAGTCCTGCATTTTTAAATCTGGATTTTCTGAAAGACAAAGAAATACCACTCTATTAGAATAACTGTCTTACACACCCTCACAAATCCGGCACACATTTTTCTACACCACAACCTCAAGGAGCTCTACTCAGATATTTTGTCTGCTTTTTTCCTCCCTTCCAGCTGCCCATAAGTCATTTGTTCCATCTTCTATACTGGCCACAGTAATCACCTTCCTTATTACTCTCCTGCATTAGGTTCTGAAAGACCTGTTCATAGCCCAGTCGGATTCTTCTTCTCTCAATAGCCAGGGCGTGCTCCAGGTGGTCTTCTGTAGACAGAAGCTTTACAGGTTCTAATTCAATCTATGCAAATGAGAGGAAAAAAAAAAGGTTCTAAATGCCATAAAGATAACAAAGTAGACTGTGAACTTAAAATGGCATCATTTTCTACAAACTTTTGCTATCAACTGTCCAAGATGGCAAGTTCTATTAATACAAACAAGCACAGAGTTGAAGTTAAAGAGATTCTGCATTATTCTTTCAGAATAATTTGTTGAAACTCAATGACAATAGGGAAAAGTGAGGGTGAGGAAATGGGGGGTGAAGAAAAGAAGGGGGTGAAGAAAAGGGGGGGGTGAAGAAAAGAAG